AGGTTGGATCCTATTCCTACTTATGTCTACCTCTTTTATTTCTACCCCCTACCAGAACTAGGGCTTGTATCCCAGTCTACCTAACCCTAATCTTCCTTTTGTTCATAAATTAGTTACAAGTAAAGTAGATATATGGAATGGACCAATTTGAAAAGTATTGATTTCATGTGGTTGAATCAGGATCGTACTGGAGCACTTTTTACTCCTAAAGCAACTAGCATGTAGGATGTAATTAGTTATTACAGCTTGATCAAAGAGAGGATTTGACTGTTTCTTGTTTGTTTATACTTTACAGTCGAGGCTTATCTGTACAGGTCTATGCTGGAGAGTGGCTCTGTTGTGCCCTACAGCTAAGATGCCTCCCCACTGCATGGACAATGACCATAAACTTCTACAGAAGATTTAAGTGCTTGAGAGAAAGAGTCAGTGACTTGAAGTAAATACTGAGGTGAATGGACTTCGCAGGGAGGAGAAACTTTACCACCGAACCACAATGGAGAGCTCAATGAAAAGAGCTGAAGAAGGAATAAAAGCTGCTGGTAGTAAATCTGAAACAGCTACCCTCCCTGGAACTCTGAATGCCAAGCCAAAGGATAAATAACTTTCTAGAGAAATAAGAGGATGTAGAAAATACACCAAGAAGAGCTCTGAGGTATGTAGGAAGCAGTCAGATAGTAGAACCTCAAGTTAGAATCAGACATGACATAAACTCTAGACGCATTAAAGTTTAGTTGAAAGCTCAAATGTTTTCTTTAGCTTTGACCTTTTCTTTGTTTCACATCCTTCTTCTTTTCAAATACATGTTTGAATAGTCAATTGAATTCATTTTTTGTTTAATCTTAATTCCTTGGTAAAGCATTGTCTGTGTAAATGTACCATACAGTTAAATATGTATGCACAAAATGTGCACAATATTCAGTATCTTGTACTTTTAAATGGCAGACTTTGTATAGCTCTTATGCTAGCTGGGAACCAGCTCAAACTAGAACATTGAAAAAAAAATACAAGAAAAAAACGTAGAAAAAAATATTTTAATTTCATGATTCTGAACTGAATTACTGTTGAATCAAGGAAAACAATGCATACGAAATACTTACATGTGGTCGACAGGCCAGAAGTTTATCAGTGTGACAGGACTGTAAAAAACATAAAAGAATAGGAGAAAATTGGAGATGATGAATACATCCAATAGCAACACTTTACCTCTGAAAACAGCACTCTTCTGGCATGACAACGTGGATTAAATATGATAAAAAAGTGCACTGATACCAAGATATCTATAAGAAAATAATAGCAATCAAAAAGTAACTCATTGGTAACCCAGTCTAACAGTTAGCAATCAGATCGCTAACACTCTGCAAACCAGAATTGATAACAGTTAGCTATCAGTTTGCTAACACTCTGCAAACCACCAGATAACAGTTAGCTATCAGATCGCTAACACTCTGCAAACCAGAATTGATAACAGTTAGCCATCAGTTCGCTAACACTCTACAAACCACCAGATAACAGTTAGCTATCAATTTGCTAATATTTTGCGGTTAGCAATCAGTTTTCTAACACATAGCATTCAGCCAGCTAGCAGTCAGAACCCTTCATTTCTCCATCAACCTATCAAGAAAAGTCACCCAGACATCCAACACACTAGCGCAATATCAAAATAGGAATATATTATATTCCTGATATCTATTTTGACCATTGCCTTGTTTTTTGATAGCCACTTTTGTACATTACATTCAGGATATCTAGCATTTTGACATTTGCCGTGTTTGGATTACCACTTTTTGGATTTAGGACTTTTGTGTGTACTTCATCTCCTGTAATAAACCGATATTATGCGTTGGAGTCCTGTCCTTAACTGGAACAGAAGGGTATTGGCTTTCAGCCCGACCCTTGTTATGTCAACGTGTGTGTGCCCAGGACCCACGTTTCCATGTTGTCGCCCTCTAAGATGGTCTGGACGGGGAGGTATCCCATGCGGGGATGTTTGGCGAAGTAGCGCTTGGTCCTGAACTTGTTCTTCAGCACCTTGGCAAAATCTCGGACATCCTCTCCTGATGTAGTCTGGAGAGAGAGCCAAATCCATGAGTCGATTTACTCCATAAAAAGGGGAAAACACAAATGCCCTCAAAACCACGCCGTTTTTCTTTATTTGACTCGCAGTCCATAGTGAGGCGTTTATAAATCAAACTTGTCTCACGTGAAAGAAGACATTATTTCTGCTTTAAATCCCAGTTTTTATGGGATTGGAGCTGTTTTTATGGCCCCAACAACTTGATGTGCTGCTGAGCAAAACCATTTTAAAGGAAGTAAAAGCATTGATTTTAAACCTTGCCTGCAAAATGTGTGTTTTCAGACACAAAACAGGTCATGTTTGTCCATGGCTTCACTGAAGAAACTGGTAAACAACATGGTTGAGTTGCTACTAAGTTGAGTTGCTACTAAGATTCTTCTGGAAAATGCCGTGAAGTAGAATTGAAATCAAATTGTTGTTTCTACAGAGAGAACGGCCACACAGCGTTTGAGGAATAGAAGTAGGTCATATTTATATTACATTGACATCCACAATATCACAGCATTAACCCAAGGTGGAAGAATACCACTACGGCAGAATCTTTTAACGATATATTCAGAGCTTTACGCGATCGACCGCGAACCAATAAAACACAAATCGCTCACCGTCAATTAATCAACTAAAGACTGAGGAGAAAAATGAATCCGCCATGTTTGATTGTCTATAACGCCCCCGTTGAGACAGCATGTTCTAGAAGGACTGAATAGGACTGAAACATGCATCTGTCCATTCTCCATACTGGCCTAGTCCACCTCTGGGTATTGGCCATTTTATCCCAGGACCAAAAAGATATAAACAGCCACTCAAACTCACCCCTATGGGAGATTTGGAGACATCTTTTAACACGATATGCATGTTTTGGGGAGGTGGGATGAAGCTAGAGTACCAGGAGAGAAAGCCTGGATAAGTCTAGAGGTCTAAACCCTGACAGGTCTTGATTGTCTACTTTGCCGTAACCGTGACGGATTGAGAAAAAAAATCCCCTTTCATTCCCACTTTACAGGTCAGACATGTGCTTAGTCCCATACCGGCGTGCAGTACTCCACCATGGGGTATTGCATCTTGTGTCCCTTGGCGACACGGCCAGAAAAGAAGCAGCTTTGGCAAATGTCATAGTTGAAATGCTTCAGGCTCCGATACCTGTTGAAAGTCGGAGACACAAAGACGGAAGAGTTAACTAAAAGAAGGAATGAACTAAAAGTCCATTTCCTATTCAGCAACAGGGCTTTTTAAGTCAGTAAGTGAGTACCAAATAAGTCTACATGAGACCTTAAGTGATAAGGTTTTAAATGACTTCTAGCTGGTCTCTTATCACAAAATGAACAAAGTCCAATATTTCTGAAAGACATAAAGATGAATATACCTCCATCTACTTCTCAGTGGCTTAATACTGTCAGATCATGCTTAAAGATGGAAAAGATTCTATTAACAGTAAAAGGTAATTCAGCAAAATGTACTCACAAGTGGGCACCTCTTATGACATACATAAAAGCTCTGCCCTTATAATGTATAGATAGATGTGATTGACCCTTCATGTCACGTGACTTAAATTTACACAATAACTGAGTGAAGAGTTGTTACCTTTTAGCTTTTCAATGCCGTCCAAACCCCCCTCCATCCCACCCCTATTTTATTTAATTTTTATTTATTTATTTATTT